AATGTGTGGGGGCAAAATACACTTAAGGTGTTTGCACATATGTACATTAGACTGGGTATGCATACAATTTTACAACTGCCATTTTATTTGGAGCGAAATTTTCATTCATGATAAGTTCCAAAAAGTCGAAATCCATTAAATATTTATATTCATAACTAATAATAATAACATAATTTGAGTTTGAAGAGATATACATAGATACTTACATATATTGTTGAAAATTCCCTCTTTCACCCACTGATCTCAATTATGTCATGAATAATGAATTCTTCCAAGAACACTAAGATATGCCCATATTTATAGCATTTTAAATTAGCAATGTTGTGTCACATTTTGAAGTCGGGTGATAAATGGAAAAGGTTATTAAATAAATAAACTTGTTTTTAGAAGACTTCAATGGCCAAACATTTGTATGACGCCAAAATTCCCTCAAAGTAAGCTTATAAAGGAAGGCGGGACAACACTTGTTTTCGTATAGTAGCTGACCCACCTTAATGTACATACATATATGTAGACATATAATTGAACTACATTTGTTATGCCGGGTATTCTTTAAATTACTGAAAATTAACTTTTGCATTTCAAAAACAGTTTTTGGAAAGTGAAATATTTTAAAGCAAGGGAAAGTGAGTGGTTTATGAGACACTATAATAATAGTTTGGTATACCACCCGTGAGGGGGATATGACTTCTCCTGGCACTCATAGAGCGCAGTTATAATACGTAAATATCTCTCCAAGCAGATGTATGGCGACTTCATACACGCTCTCATAAACTAACCTATATAATCTAGGCGAGTTGAATCTTTTATAAAAATATATATAATACGTTTTTTCTAAGAGCATCCAGCTTTAGGTAAGTAGTTGAAAGTTCAGTTCCCTCTAAAGTCTCTTGCACCTCGAGTAAGAAACTCGATGCAAATATGTACAATAAAGTATTATAGGCGCCTTCGCCAATATTCAGAGAGTGGCGAAACGAATGAGCAGTTGGTATAAAGCATTCAAAATAGTAAAACTTGTCTTATGTCTGCATAGACATCATAGAGAGAAGACCTTTAGAGATTGTGACCATTTTAACCATACTTTCTTGGACTCAGATTTGAACTTGCTGCTTTCACATACAAATTTTCTGACAAGAGAGCGGAGCTCAAAATTGGCAAGCAGGGAAATGGCGAATCGAAGGCAGCTTATGTATATTATCTCCATTTTCTCACAAAACAGATTCTGTCACATTCGTTAAAAATGCATATTTAGAACTATCTTCGAACTCCCAAAAAAAAAAACAAACATCCGATAATATGGAGGGTATCAATACTCAAAGTATTGTGGCGCATGCAACAGGTCTTATGGCGCCATCAATTCTGCCGTACTCAAGCCATCCAAAGCAACGAAACCAAATCAACAGCCATTGCATTGTCATAAATATGCCAATATTATCAGTATCGAATGACAATATTAATTGTTTGTTTACTTTCAAACATAATCATCAAATTGGGCACTAAAATGCAGCTACTTATACGCAGACGAACATATAGGCGCATGTTAGAGTGAAGATAAGCAATGCAGGCCATACTTAGCTGCAATAAGGCACTTCATAAACATTAATAGATGGGTAGTTTTTTTTTTTTTAATGGGCAGCAAGTACTAGGTATGTATGTATGTATATTATGTACGTGTGTATGTATTTATTTTTACTGATAAATATTTTCCATTTATTTATCAGTTAAATTGTAATAAAATCCAAGTAAATATTTACATAGTTTGCTATCCAACCGAAAATTCATAAAAATTTATCAAAAATAACATTGTAATAAACAGTTAAAGCGCCAGCTACTGATTTTCGAGTGATGATAGTCTGTAATTCGAAAAAATCTAAGGGGTTGCATATTGCATACATATGTACATAACACATGTTGTATACATATGTAGGTAATGGCGGGTCAATTTGTATGGGAGATTTTTTCGACTACATATGCGCGTATAGCACCATAGGATTCTACGTGTAATTTTAAGAAAATTTGCCGAAGAAACGATGGGTCTGAAATAAATTTGGAGTTTGAGAAATTACGAAAATAGGTTTGCTAGTATTTTTCCGTACTGTCTTAGAGAAGTGAAAGGAATCCATTTCTGCACTTACATATCTTTTTCTTAAAACTGGCCCCAGAGGGCGCAATAGTGCAAATTTGCACATTTTCTTCGAAACTTATTTTCGTAATTTGGCAAACCCCAAATTGATTTTAGACCCATGGTTTCTTCGGCAAATTTGCTTTGAAACACACGTAGAATCCTCCAATGCTATACGCGCATAGTCAATAAAAAAGTGACCCGCCCGAATCTAGGTACTGTATACTTAAGCTGCTAATAGGCTTCAAAATTTCAAAATTTCACTAGCGTGACTTGAGCGGGTGCTCGTACGCATGGACAGGAGGAGCACTGTTTTATTTGATGTTGACTTTTCTTTTCTAATATTTTACTACAACCCATCTTTGATAACAAATATGTAATGCAGCTATTGTACATATGTATATCTGTATGTACATATGCACAAGTGCTTGTGATATGGCCTTTTTCCTTTTCGAAGTTTTCACTTTCATTTTGATTTTCGTTTGATTTCATTTTCCACATTTTTCTTGTACAAACAATATCTAAAAAAATGTTTGCATTTCTCTACGATTATATTTTTTTCTTTCGTTGCCTTTAGTTGGCTGTTGGTTTTTTTTTAATATCATTTAACTTTTTTTTTTTACTTTTTCCCAACACTTTGTTTACACACTGACGCCACTGTGGCGGCTACTGGTCGTCAAGATTTATGAGGGCGTGCATTGGGCCGAGCGAGCGCTGCTGATGGAGGCTCCAAAAAAAAACCATCAAAAAACTGAATTAAAGTGGTGGCGGCGGGTGTTGCATTGCCTGCATTTTTCCTCCCTTTTGCCACTGCGCCACCAGCAATTTATTTAGGACATTTTGAAGTGGCTGCTCAAACAGCAAACTTGAATTGAAATAGAAACACATAGTTAAAATTTACTTGGCGTTTAGTTTACAACTTGCAACAACACTACACCACATTCAAGTGCTTAGCTGGCATTGTGGCTAACTGAACTTTATTGTTTGGTTTATTATTAGGGAGGAAAAAAAACGTATTTTTTCTGTCTAAAATAGTGCTGCCTAAAAGCACACAAAATGTTGCCTACCACATACATACATACATACATACGTATTTGCTTACACAACTGAGTGAAGTGTTTGATAGATGCCCATGTGTGTGCATGCGTTTTGTACGTATGCTTATTAAAATGTCAGTTGCGCATAAAGGTGCTGACAGTTGGACATACCGTACGCATGATTGATCTGTTTCACTGTCAATTGCTTTTTATTGCATATGGATTCACATACATTCATACAACGATGTTTGCACATGGAACATGCATACATACATACATATATGTGGCAGTAATGCAAAGTGTTTGGCACTGCATTAACGGTGCTTAGATAAGTTGAAAGCTGTCAAATAAGCGCTTAGTTAAGATTATAATTTTAGTTTATTTAGACGCATAAAAGCAAAGGGTTAGCTACACATGCATACAAAAGTATCTACTAAATTTGTGAATACGATTCCATAATTCTAGGGAATTATATTGTTTGAATTAATTTTTGTGCTAATTCTGCTCGATGAAATATGTTTTTCGTTACCTTATTAGCGACTTCAGAAAGCTGCCAAATACTATTTGGCTTTGCTTCACAAATTTAGTTGTAAAATTCTTAGAACAGCAGAATATCTTCATGGATTCTGAGAATTCATACATTTTAATTGTGAGAGATTTTAAGTGTTAAAAATTTTTTTGTATAATAATACATATTTTGGCGCTTACACTTTTACTAGCTTCTACTCCAATTTGTGGCGTGCGTGTTGAAACAGATTTTATGGGAATATTTTTCATGACTGGATTAGACTTCGAGATTTNAATTTTTTGTTGTAAAAATTTGAACTAAGGTTGCGGTTGTGATAAGTTTGGTGGTGTTGGCGGTATTACCCTTTCATCAACGGCTGAAGCAGATTTATAAACTGTAATTACTTCATTCTCCAAAATCCCTGCTGCTATACCTGCATTGTTTGCTGACCGAAATCCTTCCTTTTTGAACCTTGCATCCAGTAATGTTGCCACCCTTGTAACTGTTCGGGTTTCAAACTTTGAAAGTCGATGAATAAGACGTTCAATCAAAAACAAACAAATACTTTTTCCTTCAGTTGTTTTCATTTTGCTATATAAATCGTGGTAATTTTGATGTAGCTCACTTATCGTAGGGATAAGTAAGGAAACCGTAACAGACTGGCTAGCTGAAACCTGAGTAGTAGCATTGTCTAACGGTGCTAGCAGGTCTACTAAATCTTCTAATATGCATATATCATCAGCTGTCAATGCAGCTGGAGCCTTAGTTGTATTAAGCAGCACAACTGCAATAGCGTCCTTCGTTAGTAAGATGCGTTTAATCATTCTATATGCACTGCTCCAGCGCCTAGATACTTCTTGCACTAGGCTATAGGGTCTCTCAATTCCCTGAGCTGACCTAAATTTAGCATAGACAGTTGTGCTGCTTTTGAAGAAAGCTACGATCCGTTTACATTTACCTGTTATGCCTTTTATACAATCGAGAGATAAAGTATCTTGTGCTATTAAATTCAAACAATGTGCAAAGCAAGGTAAGTTTCTCTTCTGAAGAATTTCGCATGCTTTCAACATGTTTGCAGCGTTGTCTGTTACTATTGTTGAAACTTTCTCAAACACATCCCATTCATGTAAAACAGCGCGCAATGACCCTGCAATATTATCTGCGGAGTGATTTTCATCTGATTGCAGTTTTGTAGTGGACAGTACTGCAGACTGTAGTTTTAATTCGCTTGTTATGAAGTGACAAGTCACTGTAAGATAATGCTCATTACCTCGCGAAGACCAGCCATCCGTGGTTATTGCGCAGCACTCGATATTGGCTAAAAGTTCCTTTAAATTTTTTTATAAGCTTGAAAACATATTTTTCATGTGAACTTCTTCTAAAGAACGTCTACATGGCAATTTGTACCGAGGGTGCAAAGCTGCAATAAGTTCGCGGAAACCTTTGTCTTCTACTACGCGAAAAGGTTGCACGTCAACGGCGATCATGCGCGCCAACGCAGCATCAATTTGCCCCTTTTTCACTGAATAATACCCGTACGAATCAGATTCCGCTGGTTTAAAGAACCTACGAATATTAGTTTTAGAATTTGACGTTTCCAGCTGATTCGGGTGAGATCTTTTTATATGGTCAAATAGGTTTGACGTATTTCCACTTGTTTTATAAATTTTGCCACACGTGCAACATTTCGCGCTGGAATTTGCTTTGCATTTTTCGAAGAAGTTCCATATTACCGAACCTTGTTTACGCGGTTTTCTTGCCACATTGTTTTCTTCGTCTGGAGAGTCGGAGATATTTATGCTTGCAACCGCATTATCATTCGCATCTGTATTAAAATGCAATATTCAATTGTCAATTCATATTTTAGAAAAACACGCAGTTACTTACTCATACATGTTTTATGCCCATATGTTTTTATATACATTTCATTACCTTTTTCACGCTGCAAGTATTTCTCCATTTTTACCACCAATCGCCACCACCAATGTATTTAAATTTCCCTAAAAATGTGATTCCCTGTAATGTATGAATATTTTAGAATTTTACTTCTACTCACAATTGCGTTTAGCCTCAAGCCATGAAGTTTTGAAGAGATGTGAGGAAATATTGTGATGGTTCTGTAAAAACCGACATCGATGGTTTTCAAAAACTATCGATAGTGGTGAGAGTTTTCAACTATAGTAATATCGTTAGTATCCCAGCTCTATTGCCTACCACATACATACATACATACATACGTATTTGCTTAAACAACTGAGTGAAGTGTTTGATAGATGCCCATGTGTGTGCGTGCGTTTGTACGTATGCTTATTAAAATGTCAGTTGCGCATAAAGGTGCAGACAGTTGGACATACCGTACGCATGATTGATCTGTTTCACTGTCAATTGCTTTTTATTGGATATGGATTCACATACATTCATACAACGATGTTTGCACATGGAACATGCATACATACATACATATATGTGGCAGTAATGTGAAGTGTTTGGCACTGCATTAACGGTGCTTAGATAAGTTGAAAGCTGTCAAATAAGCGCTTAGTTAAGATTATAATTTTAGTTTACTTAGGGCCGTTTTCTGAAGTAACCTTTAGCTTTAAAGCTCACGTTATATTTAAAGGCTACATTAAAATTTATGATTGTGTCTAAAGTAAATCATTTTATTGACGGTTTTAAATTGATTTACAACCAAGAAACAGACATACGTCAAAAACCGATAATAGAAATGTTTAACATTAGACATAGCTTTATTTTTAATCCAACCTTTAGATATAAAGTGAGCTTTAAATTTAAAGGTTACTTCAGAAAATGGCCCTTAGACGCATAAAAGCAAAGGGTTAGCTACACATGCATACAAAAGTATCTACTAAATTTGTGCATACGTTTCCATAATTCTAGGGAATTATATTGTTTGAAATAATTTTTGTGCTAATTCTGCTCGATGAAATATGTTTTTCGTTACCTTATTAGCGACTTCAGAAAGCTGCCAAATGCTATTTGGCTTTGCTTCAAAAATTTAGTTGTAAAATTCTTAGAACAGCAGAATATCTTCATGGATTCTGAGAATTCATACATTTTAATTGTGAGAGATTTTAAGTGTTAAAAATTTTTTTGTATAATAATACATATTTTGGCGCTTACACTTTTACTAGCTTCTACTCCAATTTGTGGCGTGCGTGTTGAAACAGATTTTATGGGAATATTTTTCATGACTGGATTAGACTTCGAGATTTGCCATTGCGATTCAAGGAGCCGAAATCGGCTCGTAGGCAATGTCTTCATAATTTTTGCAACTTCTGCAACATTTGCCAGCCAGGTACCCAGAGAGTAGTATAATTGCATTTCTATTTAATAAAATAATTCCTTATTGTCGAAAGATTAGCCGAAGAGCCCCTGACATGTGTACGGCCCCCAATTGCTCGCCAGTACTTAGTAAGTTCACAGTGGACAGAGGACAGTGTTACCGTTTGGCTTGTCAAATCTGTCTTTAACAGGCTGATATTTCATCAACCTGTTTGAAAGCGGCCGAATTGCTGCTTGGCTATGTGAAAAGGCAACTAAATAGAACCCTTTGCAAGTTGGAATATGGTACAGGTTAACCCTACTTTGATAACCTTAATAAAATTTGATGAGCAAATACTATGAGCGACGTGTGATGGGTTTACTTGCTTTAACCTTCTACTGCATGAATTATGAACGAGATGAATAAAAAAATTTTGACTACGAAAAACACACGAATAAGTAAATCTATATGGAAAGAAAAATTTTAAATTCTAAATTTTATTTCGGAAAGAAATATATAGAAAATTGTATTAAATAAAATAGAAATTAATTGGGTAGCGGTAAAGTAATTATTGATTGATATGGAAGAGGATGTGTGAATTAAGAAACCATTTTTTTATTTTACAGAACAACTTGCGTTTCTCATTAACACAAAAATGAGGTTGTATTTAAAAGTAATCTAACCACAGGCAAATCAATTACGTCCCGTTATTCATTAGTTAACATACCAATGAATTTAATTTGGTTATGGGAAAAAATTGCCAAAGTAGTGGCACCATATTTGGCTTCGTATGCGGTAGAGGGTTAATATTATGCAATTTTATGAATATCTTTTTCTATATATAGATTCTTTAAATTATTAGGTATTTATTATTTTAATGCGTTTTACTTAGAGAGTTTTCTTAGTTAAATAATAAAACACAAAGACCTCATTAATTGTTTCGCGAAAGAGACAGTGAAAAATTTAGAGTCATATGTCTCCAAGACGTTGGTTATCAAAGCAGAGGTAAGATAATATCTATTCGTGGGAGTTGAAAATTTGCTACCAGTTCCACAAGTACCTGCACAGTGATACCTTTGTCAAGTTTGGTTTGGAGACAAACCGGTTTCGGTGTTATGCCATCTTCAGTATCGTTATTCGGCCATTTGGAAGTGGTACAATAGAGCAATGGCAGTGAGTTTTTCGAAAGTTTGTTGTCCAATAAAGCAACGCACAATTGTTGGTATTTAGACCTAGGCGAGCCCCACTTAGCCCCAATGGAGTTGTCGGCGGTGCTTTTCGAATAACCCTGCAAGACTAGAATGGCCACGAGACAGTGCGCCTTGCAGCTGGTGGTCACTTCTATAAACTTGACCAATATCTGAAGGACGACACTTTTGTCAACCATGCTGATCATTATTCACCATTCGACTGTCAATCGCAAGAGAAAGGTAGGTATAAGCTATTCTGTCTAGGGACACAAGCACAAAGAACAAAAAGTTGCTCTTCAACCGTGGGAATGTAGTTTAACAGGTCGAGATCCAATTTACATATCGTCACCGAAGATGCAAAGGGCCGTAACTAACATAGGCAACTTAACGCAAACGCCGTCACTATCATGACTCAATCGAATTACAAGTCCCCAAATCGCAAACAGGGCGGGATGCGGGTGTAGCTATCTCTGGCCTTCATACGGTTCCTTGATGTTGACAATATTTTAAAGAGAAACTCTGGCCTTCATACGGTTCCTTGATGTTGACAATATTTTAAAGAGAAAATTGAAAATATTAATGCTGATTTTATTTATGTAATATGCGAACGATATTGTAATATTAAATTCATTAATGAAATTTGTTTCCTTTTTACCTCAAATAAACTCATATTTTAACGTTAAAATATTTTTTTTTAATTTGTCATTTATTCCAGCATCCCTACCCCTCCGAGGATCAGAAAAAACAGTTGGCGCAAGATACCGGCCTAACGATACTGCAAGTGAACAATTGGTAAGTAATTAATTTTGTATGTAAGTACAATGTATTTTCTTTTGAACAGTATTTATGTAAGACCGGTGCAGCCAACTGAAATAAATCAAATAAAAAATTATGACGAAATTTCCATAAAAAATTACAAGGCCGATTTCTTTTTGTACATAAAAACTTATTGATTTCGAGTATTTAATATTGGTCAGACGTATATAAATTTTTAAGCGCGCTTTTAAATGTTGGCCAACTGTACACTAAACTCTCCAAGGCAAAACTCAACATGCTCGTTATTAGTGTGTGAAACAAAGAAAAGCTAATAAAGGCATTTTCTTGAGCTAGGAAATTCTTGAAAATATTAAAAGTTTCGAAACTTTAACTGAAATGCTAAAAGTTGTATGAAACTTGTGCGAGCTTAATTTAAAGCGCGACTTAAATTTGGGGCATACTTATAAAATATATGTTTTCACCAATTTTATTTAACTGTAAAAAAATATGAATTACATCTTTGCAATCTTTTCATACACAAATGAACCTCCGTCAGTCCGTCTTTCACCAACGCATCTAAATTAAAAATGTAAATGCGGAATTTTTCTTCTAAATTTCTTATCACCCGGAATATGTCAACTAAAATAGCGAAAATTCATTTGCGCTGCTATTACAACCAATCAGTGGAAAAGTTTTGCATTACTTCCACAAAACTTTTGTTTGTTTTTGTTTTTTTCCTCACATACTTTAGAAAGAAAACAAAGAAATTAAGAAAATACACTTAACAAAGAGAAAAAAATAGAACACACAAAGCAAACATTTCCAGCAAATTGAAAGAGAGATGGAAATTCTAGTGCACAACGCAGTAGCTGGAGAAAATACCTTTAAGAAACTTTTTCGATTATAATTCTTGTGACCAACACGTACGTATAGACATACATACGTACATACCTTCATCAATATCTATGTATGTATGTATATATGTACCTACATATTGTGATTAACTCGGTGTTTCCAAACCGGTTTCAATAGCTTTTTTCATTATTTCTAGGCGGTTTTTTGAAATCTTAATTTTCGAATACCGTGTAAACTGGATTTTTACAATCGGAAAATTGGTTTCTTTACCTAGTTTGATTATATAGCAGAATCTAAAAATTCGCAAATGGAAGCTAAAAATGTTTATTCATTTTAAATTTTGAATACTGGAAAATTTTCTGTTACAGAAAATTATTTAAAAAATTAAGAAAAACCGAAAAAAAATTTCACTATTTTTTTTTGTTGTAACAGTTAACTAAACTCTGTCGAAATCAGTGAATCCACTACATATTGACTCCATTCGCATATTATTCAACTTAACAGTTTAACCTGTTGTTATAGAGAAAATATGTCAAATAAAACCGGTTTATCCGGTTGTTTCTTAATTTGAAAATCGGAAACCTGTTTTTGAAGTTGACAAATAATCGAACGCCCTAGTACATATATACTAAATTATACAATTGTATCAAACCCACTCATGCATTAATGCCGCAGATGGCCACAAATCGCCAATTCTCGC